TAATACTTCTGACCTGTCTTTCTGACCTAGGCCGGCACAAACTTAGAAACTTGTTGCGAACGCAGGAACTCCCTAAATTTTGCGGTGCACTCTGGTTTTGCTCGGCTGGAGGCCCTTCCCTTCAGGGATGGAACCCAGGTGTTGATAGGTTGACTAGCTTGTTTCCCACTCTGATTGGTTGTGCATAGTTTGAGGAATGCCTTCCCCAAAATCACTGCCTCCTTTGTTTCAGCTAGTTTAAACAAAGAAAAAGAACATTTCTATATCATCCAATTGGTTTAACTTTCAAAATCAAGGAATGAACAATTAGGATATTCAGGCATGTTTCTAAGAGAGAGTTTAACCTTTGTTACCTGATACACAATACATGTCAAAGAACACAGGTACTATTTGCCTATCATCTCTGAACATGCATGAAAAAAAATCAACAAAAAGGAAAGGAACAAAGGAAGAAAAGAAAAGAAAACCACATTCAGGATACATCTTGGTCAATGGTCTAAACTCATAGCAATTAAATGGTTGGGTCTGACTGTTATCAAAGTTATACTCTACGTATTTGTAGCACTTAACGATAGAAAAAGATACAGGTAATATTTAGGTACTACCCAACAAGATTAATACCACAAGTAGTATTACTTACAGATCATAGAAACGTCGATAATCAAGTAAACAAAGCACGAAGTTTCTGGCTTCTTATAAGCACAAGTCCATGGTGGTGATGCGGTAATTTGCGGTTTCACCCCTTGGGGGTGCTGTGGGTCCATGCTTGAGATCCCTAGGGAATTTAGAAAGTTGGAATTTTGCCGTCCAAAGTCGTACAAATTCCGTTTTGGTATGTCTAGTTTAGCTAAAAAGAGTTCTAACGAATGGTTGCAGTTTGGAGGGGACAAACACCTTAGAAATGTACTTTCTGTTACTTAAGATAAAACGTTGTCCACAGTACTTTGGAGAGGCATCTGCCACATTCCAGAGGAAGTGTCCTGTTTTTCTGCTGGGTGAATTCAGCTGTAAATCTGACTGAGTCTGGGGTTGGGGGTATTGAGCTTGACAGATTTACACCTCCAACCAGTCTTGCTGGAGCCAGAAGGCCCTTAACTTTGGGTAAATACTCAGCGAGTTGAAATTCCAGCCATTGTTCGTTACACAGGTCAGGCCATAACAGAGCATGAGAGTGGGCTCTCTCCCCAGACCTTCTGCCAGACCAAATACCAGACACCATGGAAACCGGAAAATGGCAGGTTTATTTTCTTCAAAAGCTCAAACACAAGTTGGGTTGATGATTTCAGGGACAAGTATATGCTAAAATAACAAACAAAACAACCAATGATTACAAACCTAACTAAACCTGAAAACAAAACAAACAAAAATACTAAGGTCTACCTGCCAAACCCAGGAGAAAACAGTAACCAAAACAAAACGGCACCTGTCCATATCATTTCCAATGTTCACAGAAAGTTGCACAGAGTCTTAAAAAGACCACTTGTGAAAAGTGCCGGGCTGGTCTGGGCAGGTGTATCATAATATCACCAAAAGATTCAGAGAATCTGGAGAAATCTCTGAATGCAAAGGACAAGACCAAAAACCTGCATTTCCTGGCTGTGATCTTTGGGCCCTCAGGCAGCACTGCATTAAAACCAGATATGATTCTGTGGTTGAAATCACTGCATGGGCTCAGAAACACTGTCTGTGAACAGTGCAATGTCGCTGCATCCACAAATGCAAGTGAAAACTCTAAAACGCGAAGAAGAAACCAAATATAAACAGGATCCAGAAAGGCTGCCACCTTCTCTGGGCCTGAGCTCATTTAAAATGGACCGAGGTGAAGTGAAAAAGTGTCCTGTGGTCCGACGAATCAACACTTGAGATTCTTTTTGGAAATCATGGACACTCTGGGCTAAAAACCACTCAACTTGTTATCAGTGCAAAGTCCAAAAGCCAGTATTCTTGATGGTATGAGGGTGCATTAGTGCACATCTGTGAAGGCACCATTAATGCTGAACTGTGTTGGTACCTATTGTACTGTGCAAAATTTTAGAATATATGTATATATTTAAAATAATATTAGAATATTAAAATTAACATTAAAGGTAATATTAAAACAAATACGTGTTTGTTTAAACATTTCAAAACCTGAAATGGTGCCTCGTCTGTTAGAGGACAGTCACAAACACGTTATCATGGCCGATCAAATAAAATGCCATGCTTTATATTAAACATATACGTCTGTAGGTCTTTCAGTGTCATCCTGCTCTGGTTTCTCCATCATCCTGTATCAATGATTATTAGTGTTGTGTCAGCAGGTATTTTGGTTTTTGTGGTTGTGTCTCTCTCGGTCTCTCCCTTCACAGGTGTACCTGTTTTGTCATCAGTCATGTGAGGAGGACCACTGACCAATCAGAGGCCTGGCTGGTGTAGTTGGGGGGAGGAGCCTAAGTCTTAAAAGAAGCCTTCAAGGTGCCTGAAGATTGAGGACTGATATCACGTGTTCTGTGTTTTAGGTGTTTTATCAGCGCTTCTTTTAAACTTAGTATATAAGACTTTGACTCTTGTGTTGGGGAAGTGCTTTAGTTGGTGTTTCACCTGCACACTTACCTTTAGTTTTACAAGAGACTGTTTGCTTATTTGTACCGCCTGGGGTTTCAAACAGGTCAGAGGGGCACGGCTATACACTCACACCACACAGAAGTCTACTCTGTCTAGGTCCCTAGGTCAGAGGGCACTGCCACATGTACTTCTGTTTACTGGCCAGGGAAGTGTAGTTAGCTTTTCTTTCCTTTTTTAGGTTAGCTAAGTACTATTTGTTTCAGAGTAGATAAGAATGGTTAGGTTTTGTTTTGTTCTTTTCTTTGGTGCCGTCCAGTTCAGCTCTTCCTGTGTGGTACTAGATATCACAGCACACCATTTTACCGTGGTTGGTTTTAATAAAATGGCTTCAAAAGCTCAATTTGCCTGTTCCTAAAGGTTTTAGTCCATCACCAGTTCAGTCTTCCAGTCTTTTAATGCCACATGTAACTGATCCCACAGTACTCGAGACAAAACGTGGGGCTGTAACAATGTTTTATTGAAAGATGTTCAAACCCGTCAGGCAAAATCTATGGACGTTCAGATCACCTACAACCACAGGAGGCTCAGTTACTGCAACAACACCATCACTGTGGAGAGACAGCAAAAGTGCTCAGACTGTATTAATGGAGGAACCATCTCACAGTCTGTGCATTAGAGAGTAACGTACATTAAATATAATGAACCCGCCTTGAACATAGGCTCTTGTGTCCTTGGGGGGCTGTTGGCTCTGATGAGCTTCCTCCAGGGGTTCCGTCAGTTATAGGCCTGTTCTGTGACAGTACCAGCTCTTCTGCCTGTGTGAAAGGTGGTGGTGGTGCCTCCCTCTGGTTTTACGTGCCTCAGCCTTCTTCCTATTAGCTACATAGTCAGAATCTACTGTAAGCTGTGCCTAGTTAGACTACAATTAAAGACATTAAGCAGGTGTGTACAGAAAGTCAAACCACTTTGTACTGTTCTTATATTTCATTTTCATTTGCTGCCATGTGCGTCTGATCCCACTTGGATTGCACCTAAATTAAGTAAATCATGTAAAAAAAAGCTGCATATGATATAAAATCGAGACAAACATCATAACTGACATTAAACATTATTTTGGCAGACCTTCTGCTAAATGTGTTACGGGACGGCAGGGAGGCGGACCCAACTGCACAGAGGAAACCCGTATGAAAGGGTCTTAAATGGATTAATTGGGGTGATGGAGTGTGAATTGGGTGATTGTGCATGTTGGAGTGATGTGGCTCATAGAAAAGTGAAATAAAAGACAATCAGAAAATAAAAACACTTCCTCTGTGATTCTGAGAGGAAGGTCAGCTTTATGTTTTGCCTGTTTTCTCTTTGTGGAGCAAACAATTTTGTATGGCTTGGAACCGTTTCTCATTCAAGCCTTCGTTTTGAGGTAATTTCTCTTTTGTTTTTCCAGCCCTCTTTTCTTTTTTCTTTTCTTTCTATTTCTTTTTGTTTAAATACCCCCCTGGCCGAAGTACCGTACCGGTCATCCCTCTACAAAGGTGTGACAAAGGGCTGCTCTTTGGCACAGCCTTAAGTAGAGGAGTCCACAGGTGTGCCAGGTTGGGCCTTATCAGCCCGAGGGCTTCTGGGAATTGGAGTTCCCTAAACTTGTAGTCTGGGCTCTTACAAAATGTGAAACTCTACTCTTTTTCTCATTCACATCCATGATGAATCTGTTTATCTGCACTCCATTGAGTATGTCTTTTTACAGTTACTTGTGAATGCCCTTCTGTTTTGGTCAACCTCCTCAGAATGAACTGATCTTGACTGCCTAAACACTGATCAGCTGTTCTGGAACCGAGAACTCTGGATATGACACACTGAGGTAAGTTGACTCTACCGGAGTTCAAGGTTGAGTTTAAAGTCTGTTAAACCAGCTTTCTGAAGTTCCTCCCTGGTGTTCTATAAAACAGCTGATGATCATAGATTAACATCAATGTCTATAGTTAAACATTTCAAAATATTTCTATAGTATTTGACCTACATTTGACCATGAAGCATCTCAAAGCTTCAACATACAGAGCAGCTCCTTCTCCTTTTTCTATTGATACTAATAATTGTAAACATCTCATATCTTTCAGTAAACAAATCATACTTTTCCATGGGTTGGTTTGTGTGAATCACTACATCTCCCAGCTCATGTAATAAAACCCATAAACATGAGATGATTACAGATTTATGTTTTATAATCATGCTGCTGCTTTACTCCAAACATTCCTGCTACTAGTGAGATGTTCCATCTAGTGCTGAAGAACCCTGTTCCACAGTGAGGAGAACCCCCCAGAGAGAGAACAGTGCTCACTACTGTAGTGTTTTGGAGTTGATGAGTTCAGTTGAGTGCAGCTTTAGCAGCTGTTCTCAGATCAGTGAGAGTTTCTGAGTCAGAGCAGTTCCTCTACAGCTGAGGGAGGTTTTTGTATCACACTCTAACACTGTGTGAGTGGATAGCTGTAACCCTGCTGACAGTAATAATCTCCTGCATCTTCAGGCTGAACTCCACTGATTTTTAGAGTATAATCTGTTCCAGATCCACTCCCACTGAAACGATCTGGAACACCAGACTGACGGCTAGTAGAAGAATAGATCAGGAGTTTAGGAGCTTCTCCAGGTTTCTGCAGATACCAGGCAAGATAGCTGCTGATGCTCTGACTGGCTCTGCAGCTGATAGTAACAGAGTCTCCAGGTGAAACAGTCTGAGATCCTGGAGTTTGAGTCATGATTATTTCCCCAAAAGATGCTAAAGAGGGAAAGAGAGAGAAATATATTAGAACATCGTTGTGTCAGCTCTCATCAAACATTTAAAGCCAATATTAAAAAGGAGGTTAATGTGGCTTTTCAGAACTGACATTTAACCCCTGACATTTACCTTGAGTCCAGAGGGTGAGTGTCCAGATGAAGATGGAGACCAAAGTCATGGTTGCTGTGGGTGAAGTTTGTGGGGCAGCAGCTCTCAGTCATGAAGTGTTAAACTCACAGGACTATAAACACTAGCAGAGCACTGAAGCATGGGCTGATAATGCAAAGTGGAGCCTCTATGGAAATGGACTCACCAAACACCTCCATAATAAACACATATGATTATTTAGATATGATTATAAAGTATTAGCTCAGTTCTGTTAATTCAGTGTCAGACATTCATTTCTAAAGGTCATAAATAGTTGATGAGTGTAGAAGAGTTCAGGGTAAACAGTGATGAGTGATGGAGGTTTATGTACAATGACTTCACTGAAATGTATCACTGTGGTTCACTTTCAGTGGAGGAACCAAACTCACTGTGAAAAGAGACTTTTATTCTATTTAAACAGGAGATTCATTTAATCACCTCATTATCAGTTACAGATCATGATGATCAGCTGGTCTGAGGTCAGTGAGATTCTCCTGTATGAAGACATTCACACACTGCTCTCTCTCTCTCTGTCTGACTGTTTACTGCTTAGAACTGCTTGTTTGTGTTCAGCTGGGTGGGCTGTGGGGGGCTGGTTTCACTTCTTACTTTAGTGCTGCTGATCACCATCAGTGTGTCAGTCAAATAATAATATGTTTTATTAATACAGCACCTTTATTAACTCAAAGCAGGTAACATTGAAACAGAACGAGTGCAGAAACAAACAGAAAGAGCTCTAACATACAGTAGAAAAGCATCAGTTCCATCTGAATGAAAGTGTAAAGGGAGGTAAAGCACTGAGTAAACAGGTGGGTTTTGAGCTGTGTGTTAAAGACAGAGATAGAGGTGAGTTCCAGAGTTTTGGAGCTGTTCCACTAAATTCTCTACCACTGACTGAGGACAGTCTGATTCACTCTAATCAGACCAGTTCCAGAAGACCTGAGTGTCCGAGCTGGCGTGTAGAGATGAAGGAGTTCAGTACTGTATGAAGGTCAAGGCCATGTATGTCTGTGAAAGTCATGAGCAGCAGCCTGTACTGACCACACAAAGGGACAGATAAGCAGTGCAGTTTATGGAGAGCAGGTGTGATGAGGGCAGAGTGCTTAGTGTGAGTGAGGACTCCAGCTGCTGAGTTCTGAACAGACTGTTATTTAGGGAGTTTAACTGGGAGTCCACTAAGAAGGTCATTACAGTGATGAAGGTGGGAACTGATAAAGACACTAATCTACATTTCTGAATTACTGCTGATAATCAGGGGGCGGAGTCAGGAAATATAATGAGGGTGGTAGAAGACAGTTTTGATAAGGAAGTGAGTGAGGAATCAAATTTGGCACCAAGATTATGAAGAGTTTGTGAGGGTTTTAATCCGAACAATATTATAGAGACAGTGCTGACAAATGTTTTGGGGGTAATTATTAGTATATCAGCCTTATTTGTATTAAGTTTAGAGAATGTAGCTCATCCAAATCTTAATATAACAGATTATATTAATATTATATACAGATATTTAGAGAGGGAGGAGCTTTGTCTGTGTTTTATTAGTGTAACAATGAAGACTGAGTCCATGCTGATGAATTATATGACCAAGGAGGAGCATGTAAATCATGAAGAGAATGGGGCCCAGAACAGAACCCTGTGGAACACCTTAAACATCAGGGGCATTGTGGGATTTGTGTTGTTGTGTTGTGATGAGCAGAGGTGGATAGTAACTAGTTGCATTTTCTCAATTACATGTAAAAAATAAAACACGTGGATTTGTACTCTCCTGAGTATTTTCAAATCAGGATATTTGCAGTTTTATTCAGATAAAGGACTCCTTTTCACTGAGTTGTATTTTTGCCATTGATATTCATGTAACTCAGAGCTTAACCCATAGTATACTCCTTAAAATATCAAATGTAAAAAAGAAGAGAGCAAAAATGCATGTATTAGTGTTCAGCTCCACTCACTAGCTTAAGCAGCGGTAGCATATTAGCATGTGAGGCTATCTTACATGCTAATTTGAGTACTGTGACCCAAGTTTAACCCCGGTGTGTTAGATCAGTGTCACATGTTACCAGGGGAACACTCGTGGTTCCTCTGGGAGCTGCGAGGGAGCAACATTATCCAGATACCACCACAGCCAACTAGGAGACGCCTGTGGTTCATCCAGCATCGTGGGAGCAATGCTGACCGGTTCTTCTACTGCCCCATCAGCGAGACACTGTGGATATTGCAGTAGGAGAGCAAACGGTCGTCCCCTCCACTTCTCCTCTCCGAAATCTGACTCCTTGGGATACCATGGGTGCTGTGATTGTATCACTGCAATGGGGGGATTTGTTTGTTTTATTTTAATGCTGGCTTTTTATTTTTGCAATCTCAAACTAAGATTTAATGCATTTTGAACATAAATGTCTTATTTAAGCTTTAAGAGAATGTATTTTGACCAAGAGGTTCTCAGATGTGAACTCTTGTTGACTATAACTGGTGAACTGGGCTAGTCCCATTATTCTATCACTGTTTATTTCATATTTGTTTATTTGTTGAGTCATCCATCATGTAGTGTTAAGATACTGTTAAGTAGATCTAACGTGATTAGGGCTCAAGTTTCTGTGCTCGCTTTAAATGCATATACTTCCAATTTAATTAGTTTATTGCAGCATTTATGCTATAATAATCTACATTTCTTTAATAAATTTACATTTATTGTATGCTTAAGCCTCAAGTCACTTGAAACTTCCTGTACATCCACACTTTTCCATGGTAGGCACAGTCCTTTAACTTAAAAACTTTAAGCCAATTAATTATTTTACTGACAGTCAAGTTAAAGCAAACGTGGGCATAGAAGGGGCTACATTTACTAATTTCCTCTTATCTGTTTCATTAGGTTCTGTTGGTGACATCTGTACTGCTTTGTCATTAGTCACATCTCTGAATTTGGAGTCAGACTCCATGACTGATCAACTGTCTAACAGCACACCAACTGCTACTGACCACTGTTTTCATCAGATCCAGTTAGACTCTTGGGAAGTTCTGCACTGTAGGAACACAGAACAACAGTGTAAGTCGTGTAGTGTGAAAGGAGTTGAGAGTGAAAGAGCAGCTTAAAATCAGACTCAAGTAAAAGTGTTGATACTTCAGTGAAATCATGACTGAAGTAGAAGTAAAAGGACAACTTCAGTAAAATAAGTATCAGATCTAAAATCTACTCACCATGACTTTTAGAGTTAGACCAACCAGTTCAGGACATTAATGTCAAAACTCAGTCAGGAATAAATAAATAACAGGACAAGTAATCTGCTGTAGATTAAATGTTGAGTGTACAAGAATCAAATCACGAGAAAATTCTAGATTGTGCAATTAGCACCTCTACTGTGTTTGTAATGTAATGTGAGCACCAAGCTAATGTGGGGGACATGAAAATTTTATAGCAGTTCTAACTTTAACACTGATTAAGTAAAAGTTTTTATCTTGGATGAAGAAAGTCAGTTGAACTGTTTGTTACCATGTGAAGTATTTTTTAGGCTGAACAGACAAACTATTGTTTACAGTCTACTCACCTCTGAATATGAACTCCTAATAAAAACTGATGAGTCTGAGTTTGTTGAAGGATTTCTTCAGGGACTCCCTCTTTCTCAGGACTGAGAGAAACATCCATTTCATAATCTGTCCAGATCCTTATAATAAACTTTATAATAAATGAGACTCTAGCTGAACTCTACAGCTAGTTCCAGACCTGTGGAGATCAGGAAATAAATCCCTAAAATCACAAAGCATTTACAGTCTAATGAAAAGAAGAACAAATTCCATCTAAAGTCCTGATTTCCACAGAGTGTGTTATTGTGTGTGTCCATCCTCCCCCTCAGCACCTGCAGTAGAGTCCAGCTGCAGCAGTGCAGTCTCTGTGCAGCTGACTGAGGGAGCTTTTTGTACACCTACTAAACACTGTGGGAACACATCACCACTGTGATAACTCTGACAGTAATAATCTCCTGCATCTTCAGTCTGGACATTACTGATGGTCAGAGTGAAGTCAGATCCAGATCCACTGCCACTGAAACGAGCTGGAATACCTGACTGTCTACTGTTAACCTGGTAGATCAGGAGTTTAGGAGCTTCTCCAGGTTTCTGCTGGTACCAGGCTAAACAGTCCCCACCACAGTAGGGAGCAACAGCGCTGCTGAACTTACAGTTGATGGTAACTGAGTGTCCTGGAGAAACAGTTTTCACTGTAGGAGTCTGAGTGACAGTGACTGACTGACCACTGGATCCTGATACAAGAGAGTGAATAAAATATTAATTTATTTAAATTAATCTATCCAACTTTATAATTAAATATTTGATATCTTTCAAAAAAGAACAGTGTTGACAAAGTGAGTGAGTTACCTTGAGTCCAGAGGGTCAGTGTCCAGATGAAGATGGAGACCAAAGTCATGGTTGCTGTGGGTGAAGTTTGTGGGGCAGCAGCTCTCAGTCATGAAGTGTTAAACTCACAGGACTATAAACACTAGCAGAGCACTGAAGCATGGGCTGATAATGCAAAGTGGAGCCTCTATGGAAATCATCTTTCTATCAACACTGAGTAAAGATGATCATATTTATCTGATATTGTTTGATCAGACATTTCTGCTCAGTGTGGAATCTGATGTTTAAAGTGCAGCTTTTTATAGAGATGTGGGAAAATGAAATCTCTTCTGATTCCCACCAGAGTTTTCTGAAAGAAGACAGAATGATTTGAGCGTTATATTACATTTCACTCCCCCAGATGATCCTTAAGGCATTAAGTGGAGAGGAAAAATAAGGGGGTCACAGAGGTTTGTGGAGGTCAGTAGTGGAGACTATTGCTGGGAGCTACTTCAGCTCAGCCAGGCTTGTCTAATTCTAGAGAGATTAGAAGTGAAATGTTCCCTTTAATGTCCAGCAGAGGGCGATCTCTTATTGTGCAGTTCTAACTGTCTCTGCCTTTCATTTGAGGTTTTCTGCAGCTACGACTGCCACCCAGTCTGACTGTATCAGGACTGGAGGACTTTTTGGTGGAGGAAACACAATGAAAACAGTGAGAACCTTTTAATCTAATACTTTTAGAAGAAC